CTGCACGCCACTACTGCTTCTGCCAGCAAGTCCAGCCTGAAAATTAATAGATTTACATTTAGAGAACTAAATTTAACAATATAAGACATATTATTAATTTACCTGTGCGCCAGCGTCTAAATCTATTTGGTGCAAAACTTCTCCAAATAATTCAGCTGAAATCTTCCCGGACAAGCATAAAACGATGTGTCTAAAAACATCGTCGCTAGTAGGGGATGGAGGCAAATCTGAACACATAGCCGTTATATTTTCTGCATGAGTAATGTAGGGTCGATCTTACCGCGCAGATAACGGTTGACGCGCATAATTGTAGAAGTGGTGTGAGTTCTGTTTGATGATGTAGTCGCAGTCGAGGTTGTCGAGGATGCCGTGGAGGATTTTCTGGAGGTACCCCGCTGAGCTCCAACCCCATCAATTATTATACCCCATCACATTCATTGCAATGGCATTACTTTCCTCTCTTGACAAAACATGAGGGTCATCAGCAGCTTCTTGGGTAGCACGTAGTGCTGCATCCTTCGACGCGGCATCAATATTCTCCTAAATCACATACAGAAAATAGATATATATTGAATTGGCAAATAATGATTTCAAGTTACAAAAGTTAGAACTCCTAATTAATGAAATGTACAACAACGTAATAGTTATTAATTTATATTTGTTGAAAAATAATTACCACCAACACCATGTTTTCTTTAATCTTCTCTTCATCTTTATATGTTGAGTGAAATGTGCCGTAAGCTAACTTTGCCTTCAAATTGATCGGCATTATCGGCTTCCCCTACAAAATATAATAGGAAATGTCGAAGAGTTTGGCCAAATTGAAGGTGTTAGCATGTGAATACATCAACTTTAAATATTATACCGTGTCTCGACAATATCTATACTCAAGGTTGGCAAAGGAAATCGATCCCAAGTGGTGGTCAAGCTTGCGCTTGCTATGTCGGTTCGTCGAGCCCTTCTTAGATTTATCCTACAAAAATTACGCGTGTTAAAAATAAATTGTATTTACAATATGCTCATGTAAAAATCCTGATAATGTACTCATACCTGTGCGGACTCGGTATCCCAATAAAAAAGAAGAGCCGTGAAATGATCGAGATCCACCCTCTCATCGAGATTTAGAATTCTCTGCCAGTCTTGGGTATATTTATCATATGTTGATATCTTCAGCTCATGTCGCCACTGTTTGAGCACGGCCTCAACTTTGATATTGAAAACATAGTGCCACGCCCTAGGGTAGTCCTCAAGACAATAGTGTTTCTACAATTTTGCATGTAAAAATATAAGATATCTAAGCATTTTGTAAACGTATTCTATATCAAAAAAAAATTAAAGAAGTAATGAATGAATACCATCAACTCTCTCCATATATCCTCGTATGCGGACCATGGAAGCTCCTTGAATTTGAAGTACGGGTTTATGACTTGAGCCCGCCGTACTAAAACGCCGATGTAGTTATTAAATTTTTTTGACCACGGGCCGATCGGCAAGTTATCAACCCACTGAAGAATTCCCCGAAAGCCTCTCGGTGCCTGTTTGGAATCAGGCTTGCTTCCACCACGTCCTCCCGGTCCAGTTGCATCTCGCTTTGCCCCTACATTGACAACAGAAGTTACGTGATGAAAAGGCGAAAACAATGGGACAAAATTATTTAACGTACCACTCGCCACTTCTCTATCCCTTGCTTCAGTTGCAAGTTTCTTTCTAACGGTCATCATAAGCTTTAGTTCATCTAGCCTTTTGAGTGCAAGTGGATGATACTTCAAAGCATTAGTCTTTGATATGATCGACTCTAGAGGCAATGGTAGATGGGGGATGTCAGGGGTCCACAAACGCAACTCGGCCCCCTGCGTATCATGCGAAGACGATGGTGTCCAAGAACCCTCTACAATGATTAAAGAAGATAATCAATACGAGAAAATTGAAGGATCATTATATTGAGATGCAAAGCAAAAATAAATATATTGCGACACCATTACCTTCAGTGTGGGAGGACTCTGCATGTGAATCAGTGGCTCCGGGTGAAGAAAAATCAATGCCTGCCAAATTATCTATGTAAATAAAAATTAATATTGCTAACATACAATAGATTTTAAATACAAAAGCTGGACTTTAAATATGATTGGATAAATATTACAAACACATATATGATTAATACCTATATGAGGCGAGAATGCTAGAGTTGTGTCCCGTAGACGACCCGATAATTCCGCATCATCTACTCACATAAAAACAACTTAGCCTAAATGATGTTTCATATATCTACTTTGAGTTGTAAAAGATAATTGAAATTCAAACCTATATCTGTATGTGATGAAATGTGTGCCTCCTGAAGCTGTCCTGAGCCTAGGGCCTCCTGAAGCTGTTCTGAGCCTAGGCTCGTAGATCGTGACCGATCACGCGATCGATCGAATAACCTCGAGTTCTTCATCTGTAACATGGAATTAGCAGAGTTCAATATGAAATATTTGCCTAATAATTCACAAGATAAACATTTACTGCAATTAAACATTTAAATAACATACATAATATACCTTCTACAACTTGCTATTTTCGTATTGAACGAGGTATTGTTTGTATCATTCGGGCTATATTTAACGTTGCCTGCTTTCGTCTACTAGTAGTTGATTCTAGTTGCACATCTGCCTCTGGTTCTCTATCCCCGTCTAAAATTGGGTTGTCAGCCTGAATCTCCGCATCTGTCATATCAAGCATGACATTCTGAGGGTAAGAGAAATTCTGCCAAATATCATCAGAAGAACCAATTGGTTCATTGTCCTCATCACTATCGGCGTTATTATTAGGGAGGACAACCGATCTTGGCTCCTTGTATAGCACGACCCAATCGGCGGCAACCCTTGGATCTTTCACATAGAAGCACTGGTCCGCCTGTTCTGCGAATATGAACTTCTCATCTAGGTATATCTCTTTGTCGAGGTTTACTAGTGTAAACCCATAATGATCCTTGCGCGGTTTGGCAGGACTCCAGCGAACCTTAAACATGCAATAATTACGCTGATTTTTTTTACCATAGCCGTAAATTATCTCTACAATATCTTCCAACTGGCCATAATATAAGATGTCAGCTTCAACTGGGTTTTGATCTCTTATGCTAGAAAAACATTCTTGAGCAAAACAGACCATGACCCCACTATTTTGCGTTACCCTCTTATCATCGGTCGCCACTGTTTTAAACTTATACCCATTAATGATGTGTTCACTATATCGTCTCACTTCATAGTAAGGACATTGTGTGTGAACTAAAATATCTTCAGAGATTACGGCACCAGCAAGAACGTCTTTATCAACCTAATTCAAGCATCAATTGAATAAAATAATCTCCGAGTTTGCTTAAAAATTTAAAAATAAAAAATACAATACTACTTCTACGCTACTTACATCGGTTCTGAACCAATTAGGAAAATCTTTGATGTCTTTTTTTTGGATATCATGTGCTGCATTCCCATTTCTATTATAATATAAAGTGAACGATCAATTTCGAGTAGGAAAATTTACCTCTTACCCAAATTTGACTCGTTCATCTAATATTATAACCTCAAAGAATTGGCTGTAATTATTGGACGGGAGTCTAGGGTTAACGTTATATTTTTTACCTAAATTGGATATATAACACATTATTATATAATATTGCGTTATATATCACTCTATTTTTTTAAAACCTTTTCTTCCAAACTCACATTTTCAAATCACAAGCCTATATAATCATATTTGTACAATTCAAATCACAAACTGTATGATAAACATGAGAGCCTTGTGGGCTTAACTAGCTAAACAAGATAACAGAAATAGAAGTTGCCAATGATATACACCCATGGCTACTTATAAACATCAAAATCATATGCAACCCATGGCTTAACTGTCAAGAATGGATCTTTAATACATCCATCATGATGAGTTACATTTACAGTGTCTTGTTACTCTTTTATCAGCCTTTCTTCTCAAATTTCCAAACATCTATTCACTGCAAAGCTACTGTGCACGGTAGATGAGCATAGTAATAATATAATTGTACTACGCTTTTGATTGTTACGCTTGAGATATAGTTTGAAAATATCATCCAGATTAAAAGTACTCCCTGTAAATAACTCCTTGTAACTAGTGAAAGTATGGATCAACAACATCGTGGATGCGCTAATTTTTCTTACTGTGGCCGAATAGAGAAAAACAAAATTTTGGATGAGAATTTGTTCACTGTTGAATTTTTTTTTTTCATTGACTGGGATGAACATAACCCTAAAATTGCCGCACAATGAACAAATTTTTGAAAGGAGTCTTAAGTGATATAGGATTTCCAATTTTACTAGTCGAATTTTGAGGGGGGATGAGGATGTTTTAATTGAAAACAAGGTTGAACCAAAAGACAATTTACTAATTTATACCAAAATCTGAAGATTTGAGTCATAGGAAAAGGAATAAAGTACACAGGAGTCTCCGTTTGAAAGTTCGAAACATCATAAGTTCTTTCGAAAGAAATTAAAGAAAAACCCAAGGTCTAGGAACTCACGACGAGGTCGGGCGACGACCGATGCGACCAAGGGCTAGGAACTCACGGCGAGGTCGGGCGACGAAGGGATGCGACGACCGATGCGACCAAGACGGCGAGGTCGGGCGACGAAGGCGGCGTGGACGGGACTCGAAGGATTTGGGGTTTCGTCTTTGAAATGAGAATTTGGGCATTTGGTGTCCAGGTCTGGGGTTTTCCACTTTTTAAATTGAACCGATTATCCTAGACGGAAATTTCCGTCTAGGATAGTATCCTAGACGGAAATTTCCGTCTAGGATAATCGGAAAAATTCAAAAAAAATTTAAAAAATATTTCCGTCTACAATACTTTTCTAGACGGAAATTTCCGTCTAGAATAGTTTATTATAGACGGAAATTTATCGACGGTTTAATTCCGTCTAGTATAGAATATCCCAGACGGAAAATTTTCCGTCTGGGATATTCCGTCTGCGATATTTCATTTTCTACTAGTGTCTAATTTCTTCGGCCTCTGATAGATTCTTTCAGTTTGAAATTGTGTGTGAGCTTCTGTAACTTGCCATGATCAACTTGCTTGCATGTTTTTTATGCTCGTGACATTAGCATGGAAGTATCTATGTGCATTTCTTGTTCAATGTATACGTTGCTCAAGGTCTATTTGGTGTACATACATGCTAGAGTATGCCTTTCCAAGTTTATTTCCTGCATTTCTTACAGGAGATATATACCGGAACTATCAAAGAAAATTGTGAGTCATCATAAATTCTACTTTTTTTGTTTGTGGGAGTACAGAAGTAGTATAAGTTTTGTGGTATCACTACTCTTGGTCTTAATCTAGAAAGCTAAACCCTTTTACAAATCAATTTCTAGTAAACCTCAAATGCTTTACATATAACCAGCTTATTGCTTTAGACTATTCATTTGGTGCCTTTGGTGCATAGATAAGATCCTTTCCAAAACTTTGATTTTTTTTACTTTTTTTGTTTTTTGATCACTTTAGCTAATATAGATCAGCCAATGAATCTAAACTGTAAGGATCTTGACTCAAAACCCTACGGTACCGTTTGGCAAAAGGTTAAGTGAGGGGTTAAGGAGACTTAACCCCTTCTTAACCCGCCAAACACTAAAAAATTATATAAGGGTTAAAGTGAGTTAACCCTCTATAATTTGCCAAATATAAAAAATATAGAAGGGTTAAGCTAACCCCTCTAGAGGGATTAAAAGGAGTTAACCTCTCAAAATGAGGGGTTTACTAATACTCCTATTTAGAAGGATTAAGAGTTAACCCTTCTAATTATAAAGAAAATAGTCAAAATTATTGTTATTCCCAAACACTAAAACTGATCACAAGAGCTAAAATAAAACTTATTTAACGGGTTAATAATTTAGTCTTTCAAATTATCGAATGGGTTAAGTACAGTAATTCTTCTATTTAACCTCTCTTCCTTAACTCTTTGCCAAGCGGGGCCTACAAGAAGTAGTCAAGTCCCTTTCTCTATGCAAACGTAGATCAAAGGCTATTTATGATAGCATCCTCCAATAACTAATAAGTGCTCTAAAACCATTCTTTCTTCCAATAACTAATACGTTATCTTGTGTTAACTCTAGTTGAAAATTGTTAGGTTTAGGATTAGAAATAAATTCATAAAAACAGGTTATGAATAAATAGGTAAATTTATGACCAAGTAGGGGGGGGGCGGGGAGGGGGGGGGGGGGCGGGAGGGAGGGGGATTATGTATAAACCCCACATTAACTTTCGAAAATATCAATACAGTGACCACATCAAGTTACTTATTATCAGAAAGGCCCCTCACTAACTCTAATATTATATTAGAAAGCCCCCTAATGACCTTAACAACAATTTTTACATGATTGGATAAAATTATATAGAGTTTTTTTGCCAATAAAAAGTACGGTTAACGCTATTAGCTATTAGGGTGGTTTTGTGATAAAAACTTAAAAGATAAAGGGAGTATTATGATAACCCCTAAAAGGGGTTCTGATACTTTGAAGGTTACTGGGGAGTTATGATAATCCCTAACAATGTGTTTGAGTGGGGTTAGAAGATGGAAAGGAAAGTAAAATTTCATAAAAACTTTGTTTGAGAGTTTATATTTTTTTAAGGGGTTGGAGGATGGAAGCGAAGATGAAACCCAAAAAAAAAAAAAAATCCAGGGAGTAATGGCTAAAAGGCCATTTTGGTCACTGTACTTCGGCTTCATACTCAAATTGGTCCCTATACTTATTTTTTTCTCAACTTAGTCCTCGTACAACATCTTGGTTACAAACTAAGTCCTTTTTTAACATCCGTTAAATTCCGGGTGTTAAATTTTTCGTTAATGAGCACACTACCCTCAGTTTAATCTATTGTTGAACAGCATCTTAATTTTTACATTTCTCATAAACCTCCCCCTTTTTTAATTTGTATGCGATATTTTTTTTTTTTGCCATAATTGTTTTCTTTGTTAACAATAATAACATTGGTTTATCCATATGCCTAAAAATAAATTAAAAACTCAATGTCAATGCTAAAAAAATGGTTTTATTATTTGCACGATTGAAGAGCTTTTAGCAATTAATTCGGTTAAGTGTTGATTAAGCAGAATTATGTTTTTTAGATTTTTTTTATATTTAATAATTTATCTTATGTTCAAATATATAAAATTCATGAAATATGCTAAGAAAAGATCAATAAGATGCAACGTAGCAATCAATAACCGGCAGACTACTTAAAAGTTCAATACATACATCAAAAGAAACTAAATACTTAAATAAAATTCGTTAAATTAAATACTTAAACCAATCCTCTGTCAATTTAGTCCGCTTCAGCTTAGTCAGCCGATTTAAGAGGTCGCGTAATGCTTGTTTTACAATACTGCTTAATGTATTGGAACATTAAGACATCAGGTTAAGATTACAAACTGCAATGACAAATCATATAGAAAATATGTTTCTACCTTACAGTCACTTCTCTCTTACTCTTCAATTTAAATTCTGACTTGAATTTGATTAATCAATTAACAACTTAATTATCTCTTAACCATTTTAGGGTTAGATTTTTTTAAAACACCCCTTAACTTTGGAGGATTATTAGATAACACCCCCATAACTTTCAAAATATCAAAAAACTCTCCTTCAATTAGGGGTTATAAGACTTATTCAAAACCTTTTTCCCTAACACACGCATGCGAGCATGCGCTAGGGGTGGGCACCGGGCCGAGTTGGCTCGATAACTCGTTCGCTTGGCATGCATTTAGGGCCGACCTAACTTGGCTCAGTAGCCGGATGGGATGGCCTCAGACCGCTTGTTGAGTGGGTCGCGAGACGAGTTGGGTTGGCCCTCAGCCCATGTGGGTTGACATCCTGCTTAGCCAGTTTGGCTTATTGAGCGAGTTGGGTCCACTTGTAGGCGGGCTGATCCGCTCATCTCGGCCTGTCATGCCTGTAATGTTACATTATTATTCTCCTTATTTAAAATAATAGTTTTATTAATATAAGGATATATTTTTTTGAACTAGTTGAACCTGATATTTGGGCATTGGCAGTTAAAAAGCTACATATTTTAAAATAATTGACATAACTTAGCTAATTTTATCAAACTATTAATAAAACTATTTGTCTGCGTGATCATAAAACTATTAATAAAATTATTTTTTATAGCTTGTAATCGTCAAATTGTTAGTTTCTTATTTAAACATAATTTTAAGTATCAACAATACTTAAAAGATAAGAAAAAAATAATATTAAATAAAAAAAATAAAAGCAAAAACTTTTAAATGGGATTGATGGGTCGATTTGTGCTATGGCCCATCTTACCTGTTCTTGGCCTGCGAGTGTGTTGGGTTGAGCTCCAAGCTTATAGACAAGCGTGGGCCTGCACAGGCTAGCTAGAGGGACGAGCCAACTTATCCCTTTGCCCACCCCTAGCACGCACCCCTAAAAGCATAAAACATAGGGTTTTTCTATAGAGTGCTCATGGGCACTCTATAAAAGAGGAGAGAGATAGAGAGAAATGAATTGCCTATGAGCCCTCCTGATTTGTACTAAATTCTATGAGCAATTCACTTCTTTATATCTCTCTCCTCCCTTATAGAGTGCTCGTGAGCACTCTATAGAAAAACCCTAAAACATAATTAGACCTAAAAAATATCCTCTTGCGTAAATTTGCTCACCCATGTGAAAATTGTGGTTAACGTTTTTTTTTGGAGGGGAGGGGTTTGTGGTAAACTCTTAAAGTTAAAGAGAGTTTTCTAATAACCTAAGGGCCTAAATTTAAAGGAGGCTTCCGATATTTTGAACGGCATGAGGAATTATCTTATAATCGCCCAAAGTTAAGGAGTGTTTTCCAAAATTTAGCTATTTTTAACGCTAAATTCATTGCATCCTTCTAGGGGTGTCCAAAAAGCCCGGACCCGGACCCGGCCCGGTGTCCGGCCCGGGCCCGGCCCGGTCGTGCCCGGGCCCGGGCCCGGCCCGGGCCCGGAAACCCGGGCAAAACCCGGGTCCGGGCCCGGGCCCGGGTCGCCGTTGGCGAACCCTGTCCGGGCCCGGCCCGGGCCCGGAACAGTGCCCAAAAATGCTCTTCGATATGGGCCGTTGCCAGGGCCGGCCGGCCACCCGCCGGCCGAACGTCACCATCGTGACCGTTATGGCCGGGACGGCCGGGTTTGCGACCGGCCCAGCCGCCGGGCCGCGGGCCAAATGGCCTAACGGTCAGATTTGGCCTTTTGACCGTTTTGCCCCTTAAAACGGTCAAAAACGGCTATTTTTCGAGGGTTTTTTGGTCATTTACCTAGGGGGCTGGTTCTATAAATAGAGGGGGGTTTCAATTCATTTTCTCACAACAAAACTCATCTATTTCTCTCTCTACTACTCTCTTATACAATAATATACTATCCTATAATCTTTTGTATTTTCTAATACTTCCAACAAATGGCTTCTGGGTCTGATTATGAAGAGCAACATGCAACTCCTACCGATCCAGAGATGAGTCCTCCTACAACAACTCCTCATCCTACCGGTGTTAATCCTGAATCTGGTGGTGACGAATCTACGGCACCAAGAGCTCCAAAAAGGCCGAGGTCTGATGTATGGAATTTTTTTGAGAAGATAGACGTCACCAAGGATGAACACGGTAGGATCATCTCTCAGAATGCGAAATGTGCGCTGTGCGGCCAGATATTCAAAGCTCATCATAAGAGCGGCACCAACCATCTCAAACGGCATATTGAAAAACACAACAAAGGCCAAAATCTACAAGGTGATATCCGGCAGTCTATGCTTTCCCAATCATCCTCTTCAGGTACCCTCGGCAGTTGGAATTATGACGCTGCCCGAGCCCGGAAATGCGTAATCAGGTTTATTGTTCTTAAAAACCTTCCTTTTAAATTAGTAGAAGATGATGAATTTGAAGATATGTTTAGAGATGGTTTTTATCCTGCATTTACAAAATTTTCTCGTCAAACCTGTCAACGTGATATTTTAAAATATTATGTTGAGGAACAGGGAAAAATAATTTCTTATTTTCAAAATTTAAACTGCAAATTTTCTTTAACTTCTGATATTTGGTCATCTAGAGTGCAAACTGGTTATTTATGTATAACAGCACACTGGATTGATGAAAGTTGGAAAATGTTTAAAAGAGTTGTTTCTTTTATTGCAATTGAAGAGGCACACACTGGTATTAATGTTGCAAATTTAATTGTTGAAGAACTTGGACAACTAAAAATTGATCAAAGAATATTTACTATTTCACTAGATAATGCAAGTAATAATAATGTAGCTGTTGATTTTCTGAAAATAACTTTGTCATTGCCATGTCATGGTGAGCTTTTTCATGTTAGATGTATCTGTCATATTTTAAATTTAATTGTTCAAAGTGCATTTTCTGAAATTAAACCCATGATAGAAAAAGTTAGAACAGTTACTAATATGCATAATGCTTCTGAAATGAGAATTAAAAGATGGAAACAATGTTGTAAAAGAAAAAATTATAAGCCTAGACTAATTCCAAAAGATGTTGACCATAGGTGGAATTCCACCTATGCAATGTTATCTGTAGCAATAGAATATAAAGAAATTATAAATGATTTTATAAATTTTTATGCTTCTAGTTCTAGCTCTGGTAGTGCTTATGGAATAACTGAAGATGAATGGACAGTTATATGTAAATTAAATGAGATGTTACAAGTTTTTTATGATGCTACTATGTTATTATCTGGTTGTTATTATCCAACTATTACTTTAGCTGCTTTACAAATTTTAAATATTCAAAAATTTTTTGCAAAATATCGTATGGATGATACTTTTGGAAATATAATTTTTCAAATGGAGAGTAAATTTAATAAGTATTTTAGGCCTATTCCTCATATTTTTGGTATTGGTGTTCTTATTGATCCATGCTTGAAGGAAATTGGCCTTCGAAGTTTGTTACAATCATTATATGGTGGACAGATTATAGACTTAGATGATGGATCCACCCTTACTGCTACTACTCATTATGTAGCTATTAGAAATTATTTTCAAACCTTATATGATGAGTATGCAGCTAGATATGGTGTAGCTACACAACAGTCTTCAGCTTCGGCACCTTCAGCTTCGAGCACAGGTCGAGGTAAAAGTGTAAGTTTTGATAGGTATGCAATGGTAGCTGAACTAACTGGTGGATCTGGAACTTCATCAGGATTAGAGGTTTCTGAAATAGACGAATATTTATCTGCTTCCTTAGTTAAATGTCAAGGAAATGCTTTAGATATTTTGCAATGGTGGAAAGTATATGGATCAGTTTCATATCCTATACTTTCCACCATGGTTCGTGACTTACTATCAGTGCAGGTTTCGACTGTAGCCTCGGAATCCGCTTTCAGCACAGCAGGACGTTTGATCGACGACCACAGGACATGCTTAGATCCGTATACTGTACAAGCGGTGATGTGCTTACAGGATTGGTGGAGATACGAGAAGCGAACACAAGGCATCGAACGGATTGCTATGATTGAAGATAAATTTGAAGAGTTGGGACTAGCAGATAGATATAATGATTAGATAATATTCATAAAATTGTAATTTTTATTTCTTAGCTTTAAATTTGAATTAAATTATTTCGAAAAAAGTTGCAAATGATAGTGATATGGGTGAGTAGGTGCCAACCTAGTTGGGATGTACTCATCTATTGTGATGCGACGAATTTCGAAATAAATTTATACTTGTAAAGGATTTACCGATTATTAATAAAGAAGTTATTTTTATCATTTTTTGTACTTGTAATTTATGTCATTTCATTTCAAGTTATTAATAAAATTTATGACATTTTTTATAATAATTTATAATTTATGGTTTTGTTAAAATTTAAAAAAATAAAAAAAAACAAAATTTAAAAAAAAAAACAAACCGGGCCGGCCCGGTGTCCGGCCCGCTCAGGCCCGGGCCCGGACCCGGCCCGGACCACCCGGGCCCGGGTCCGGGCTTGGGTTTTGCCCGGCCCGGGTCCGGGCTTGGGTTTTGCCCGGCCCGGGCCCGGTTTTCCGGGCCGGGCCGGCCCGGATGGACAGCCCTACATCCTTCTTTGGTGCATTTTAACTTGAAATTCTATCATACATAATTGTAGTCCTACTTAACCAAGAAAAACAAGGGCCTTGAGAAGTAGCACACAATTTGATACAATCAGGCATTATTATACACGCAAAGAAACGACCATAAAATTTATTCTAATAATTATTAAGTATTTATTTTAAACTATCATATATCAATGGGCATATAAGCACTTGAAAGTTGTATGATGACTATGTATCCCGGCCAATTAATTTCATTAGGGCAGTATTGCCCTTTTAACTCATGTTTAATGGAGTTTTTAATAGAGAGTTAAAATAGGACTAAATTTACGTCTAATCAGAGATACAAAGACGAAGTTGAGAAAAAATAAATAAATAGGAGGAGCAATTTGAGTATGGATTAGGGGCGGAAGTGAACCGAATAATTAATAAAAAGTTCGGTTATTATTCGTCTAGGTATTCGATCAAGTTCGATTCGACGGTTCATTTAGAACCAAACAAATAACTTTTAGTATCCGGTTTATGAATGAATAGAATTTAACCGAAGTGTATGTTCGATTCCGGAGTTCATTAACTATTCGATTAGTTTTTGCATTTTAGTCCTATTAATTGAACTTATTGCAAATTTACTTGTGTAAAATTTTATTTACAAATGTCACCCATATAAATAGGTGAGAGTGGTTTCTAGGGTTCTCACTTTTCTCGTTCTGTTTCAGTCAGCCTCCTCCTTCAGATTCTAGGGCTCGGGTTTTCACTGTTCTCCCTCGAAGCTCTTCGTCGCTCGAATCTCGCCGCCGACTCCTCCCTCGAAGCTCGTCGTCCCTCGAAGATCGTCGTTTACTCCTCCCTCGACCGTCTTCCCTCTCGAGTCATCAAAATGTAAGTTGAAGCTTAAGGTTACCACCATTATTCCCGATTTTTAATTTATACTGATCGCTAAAGGTTGCTTCTTTATGCCTTTCACAGATAATTTTGCACAAGATCTGTAATTTCAATCGGCTTCGTTTAATCGTCGGAGGTGAACTCTCATCTTTCTTCACTACCTAATAATCCGGCTCAATGTTTTTCTCTAGTGGCAAGCGACGTAAATTATTAGCGATACCATTAGTTATCATTGATGCTCTGATGTCCATTTGATTTGCTCGGCCTTCAAAATAGGAGTTATTAGTATGCTTAAGTGACTTAGAGAGGAGTTGCGTGCTTTGTTTGATAAGTAAAGCTACAACTTTGTCCTCTGATGACCTATGATTTTATGATGGGAAATCAAGATATTTGGGTCTTGATTCAGTGTGAAATTTAGTATTTTTATTCTGTTTTGATTTTTAAGCAATTGAAAACGATTTTTTCATAACATGATGCATGTTGATTTATGTACTATTCGAGTCAAATTCGAATAGTAATGTGATACTGACCTACTGGGTAAGTTGGTAACTTGGTAATTGCTATATTGTTGTAGATTCCAAATATATTGATTTTCGAATAATTGGCGAATAGATATCGAATAGTTGATGAATAACTTGATATCAAAACCAGGAAATATTGTTAATCGAATGTTCGCAAATAGTTACCGAACACGTACACAACTAAACGAAGCGAATTCGAATTCTGAATATTATTCGAGGCGATCTCGAACACGAATACGAATAGTGCTATTTGCGCCGAATTCGAATTCGAATAAGACGATATTTGTTCAGATTCGATTCGTTTCCACCCCTAGTAAATGGCCTTTTACCCTATTGAAAATCAGTGTAAATTTTTACAATATGGTGAGACAATTTTGCCTTATCACATTAAATCAACGGCCGACATATACTCTCCACGTAACCAACGGCTGAGATTTGGCCCCTTCTCTTCTCAAAGCCCTAACTTCTTTTCTTCGCCCCTCTATCTCTCTCTCTCTTTTCTCCGCGCTCTTAGCTCTCCGGTCCTCCCCCTCCCCCTGGTCCGCCGTCTCCACCTTCGTCATCAACTCCTCCGGCGCCGTCCACGACCTCGGGTGCTGTTATTTCCTCGGTTAATAGTTTTTTTGCTAATTATTTTCGCATTTTCCATCATTTATTGATCTCTAATGCCCTTCTAATAGATAGATTCCTTTACCCATGTTATCTTTCCCCCCTCGTCATTGATGTAAATTTCTCTACATTTGTTATCCTTTCTATGGATTACTTCTGTTCGCGTTATGCAGTCTGTATGATAAAGTTGTTCATTTCATGTTCTCTAGTAATCTTTTAAAAGACGACATGCTTCCTTACGACTCTAATTATTAGGTCTTAATTAGGGATTATTTTTATGTTTTGATAAATAAAAAAATCTAAATTATATTGTAAACGAATAACCCTAGTCATTTAATTTTAAATAATTATAGGATAATTTTTAATTTCCTATTCCAATCGTATTCTTTCCGACTACTCATCTAGGAGTATGGTTTATATTTCTCTTTTCTAGATTGTCTTTAACTTTTGTTGGATGTAGTTTGGTTACGTGGTGGCAATCGCAAACTTGTCTTTGATTTTTTTGCTTATGTATGGCAATTGCATGCTCGTCTTCGCTAACTTTTGGGTTTTTGTGCCAAATAAGACCAATGTAAAATGATCTAACTAGCAGTGGTTATCTATTTACATTTCTTCTAACGGTACATTTGTCGATATTGCAAGAAAGGGCTTCAAATAAGCATAAATTACTGCTGTTTTTGAGAAGCCTGACTTGTGCTTTGTTTGAATTCAAGAAAAAGAAACTATGTTTTTATTTATTTTAATTTCCTTGCTTACGAGTTTCATTGACTAAGAAGCACATTTTCTTCTTGGTTACATGTCATTGCTGTCTTTTTATAAGGGAAAAAAAGTGAGCCACTCATTTTTTAAATTATATACCTTAGCTATTTAAACCATTTGTTATTACCTTTCCTTGAAGCAAGCAGGCTCCTTTTCAGTGAACTTACTGCAACCATCAGTCATCACCACTTTTTCCCCCCCTTGTCACAACTTTTTAATCTTGCTGCTTGTCTTTGATTCTCTTTCTGCGAATATGTCATTTAGTAGTATCTTCCATGCATCAACGATTTTGACACGCCCGACAGATGACCTTGTGCTGCATGTTTTCATGCACAAAAGTAATTTACTAATTGATCCGAGCTAGGTTAGGTGTACTCTACGGATTGCTACTTAAGGAAAAGGCTGCTTGAATGTAGATTTTTAATGAAGTTTGCTTCTTGTGTTTCATGTTTGAATGTGCACTTGCATGCTGAATTAGTGTTAGCCTATCTACTTATAACCTTAATAGGTCATTTGTCTTGGTAAATGTCTTAATATGTCCATCTGTTGTCTTGAAAAATGTCATTTTCTCGATATAGAAGCAATATTTCACTGGTTCTAGCCATTTATTGTTCTCAAGTACTGCATGCTAAGCCTACTTGGTTTATGGCCTCTCTTGAAATATTTTAATGTTACCATGCTTTGTTTCAGCGGTCTACTTGATCAGGAACTACAATGAGGTTAGAGAAGTGCTGGTTCTGTTCATCCACCATATACCCTGGGCATGGGATTCAGTTTGTTCGCAATGATGCAAAGGTAGGATCCTATTCTTCCATAATTATGATGAATGTCATGTTTTTGGCTTATTGTTGAATTTTTTGAGTTTATTTGTAGGTTGTTTACTAAAATTATTTACAAAGTGATGCATAGATTTATGTTTGTGACAAGAAATTCATGTTGTCTGGATAGTAGCTTTAGTAGTTTTTGTTATGATTAGTGCTATTTCACGAGGATCTTGCTTAATGCACTTTAAAAATTATCCAAAAGAAGTAGTTTACTTTAAACCCTCATCAACAGTATGCTTCTACCATTATCATTATGATCGCAATATCAACCTTTCCCTAACATAGTTTGGTCCTTTACTATTAATGTCATCACTATCATTATTCAATATTTTTCCCACAATATTGCTTCTTTTATGAAGCTCAACTCAAAGTTGTTGAAGCTTTATAGGAGTCAGTATTTTTTTTTAAACATTGGGTCTTAACATAACATCCATATGACTTGGTGTCATAAATCATGTGAAGATCATGACAGTGAATATGAACTTGCTAGAAGAGCTTCAGTAGGAGAAGTGGTATATGTTTATTAATATAGGTGAAGATTAAAACTTAAATAATAGAGATCAAAGACAGAAAGTTTGTGTGCTTGGGTGGATAAAGTCAAGGAACAAAAGAAATTAAACATCTGGAAATGTGATTTTGGCATCTTTACGCATATCAAGATAGTGAAGTGGGAAGTTTCTGAATATTTTAGAAGAACATATAATGGAAATAGTGACTCTAGTTCCTTTACTCTTTTAAAAGAACATATACTGCAAATAGTGTCTGTGTGCATAGAAGAAAGGAAAAGAAAACTCACATAAGAAATCCCTTCCATTTGATACTATTTGGATGTACTGCAAAACACTACGATGACACTTTTATACAAATAGTCAACTGTTATATATATATTATGCTGAATTGAAAAGTAACTTTGAGATATGCTGATATATTAGAAAATAAACTAAAGAGATCCTTAGATTACAAATGAACCATTCTTTCTAAGGTAATATTATTATTGGAAAGAGTTTTTAATCTGTAATTTCCTTAACCATTAAATGTCGTGCACCAAACTGGGCAGGGAAGTTGGTTACAATTTTGTACGTTCACTTCTTGTGTTTTGCAAGAATGTTTGTTTGCTGTCACAAAGTATAGTCCGCTCTATATTTTCCAAACTAAATTGACAGTCGCTGCAAAGAATATGAAGATCATAAGGAAAAACACATTTGGATTATAATATGTAATTGTAGAATATAGATTATACATATTTTATTTGAACTACATAATGAAAATGGCTCTATGATTTTGCAAAAAACTATATATTGAAAATGATATGACAAAATCTTACTCTTTATGGGTATGCATTCACATTGTTAATTCAATCATTAGTGACATGGTATATAATCAAATTAACATGAATATAACTATGAATATGCAAGTACTTGTAATAACTTTCCTATATTATCTTGTTTATTCTTTTGTTTTGTGAAAAATTAAATTGGAAAATAATGTAAAATTTAAAAATGAATATTCTTTGAAGTTCTTCCAGAAGTTTCTTCAACAAATGATAATCATCATCTGTGGGGCTCTGGCCTTCTGGGATGCTGGAATCTAAACCTCATACTATGATATTTTCGTTGTCAGGACTTGAAATGTGTTGGGAGAGTAAAAGAGGTGTCCACAAGTATTCAAGCATGGTAGTGTCTTGTACATCAAGGAACCAAAAGAATTGAAATGTCCTTGAAATCACATCTAGTGTAGACGCTGACATGATCCCAGTCTTTTTCACTTTGCTATACTTTCTTATCAAATGAACAAGCAGTTACATTTGTGATTTTCGTTGTTATATATTGTATGTATACTATAATACACACAGAATGGATATCCAGGTATTAGATTTTGTTAGCTAGTCTACCGTAACTTCTCGCATTCTTACAACCAATTCCTCTGCAGATCTTCAGGTTCTGCAGATCAAAATGCCACAAGAACTTCAAAATGAAACGAAATCCTCGCAAAGTGAAGTGGACAAAGGCCTACAGGCGATTGCATGGAAAGGATATGACGCAGGTATGTGAAATAACCCGAAGCCTACTAATTGTCCTCCAAAACTGGCTACTCACGTTACTTTTCGAATTTTCATAAGCTTGTTAACTAATTGCTACTTTTTTTTAAAAAAGGACTCTACCTTTGAGTTTGAGAGGAAGAGAAATAGGCCAGAGAGATATGATAGAAATGTTACTGAGAAGATACTGAAGGCCATTAAGAAGATTGACAAGGTCAGAGTAACTAGAGAGGCAAAGCACCACGAAAAGAGGTATGTTTCGCCTACTTTTTCTTCCGATTTCGATGCCACTTCTTCTTTCTTTCGATTCTGTTTTCGGATTCCCATTTGAATTTTGCGTTTTTGGGGCATAACCACAGGATGAAGGGGAAGAAGCAGAAAGAGCAGAAGGAAGCAGCGAGAGAATTGGACCAGAGCATCAACTTGGTCAAGGCTCCTCTTGCTCTTCAACAGGATTCTTCGCTTACTCTCCCGAAGATCAAAGTCAAAGTTTCCCAATCACAGGCAGAGGTCTCAGCGATGGAGGAGTAACGAATATTTACCGTGGATGTCATGACATCATTACACCTCCATTTCTGCACTCTATATTTACTCTTGTGTGATGTTTCTTTTGAAATATGGTTAATGTCTGGTTTAATACAAATACTGTCAGGATTACTAGAAACGAAGTAGCCTTTGATAGATTAGGCTAAAGACTTAAAACTATTGATTATCATATTTTTGTCGAAGGGAGTTCTTGCGTCTGTTCTACGAGCTCTCGTTGGTTTTGTAGACACATCTGCTGGTGTTCTGTTTTCGTTCGTTGTCTGAAGAAAAATGATTGAGATTAAATTTTCGCAGGGTTTAATGTTTGAATCTGTTTTTGAACAGTGAATCTCTTGGCAAAAAGATTTACAGCTGGACAGCTGTTTGTTGTAGCTATGGCATTAAGATGTTTTTTGTTTTTTTTCCCCGCCCCTCTTGGTGGCGAGCGGGACTACGGGTGTTTTGTTTGGCAAATCATAGGCTAATTCCACAAAACTCCCTTGAACTTTTGGGCTGTTGCGTATAACCCCTTGAGCTTTGTTTATCTAGTTTAACCCATTGAACTCTGAGGTATACCAACAAAACCTCCTGAGTTTTTATATTTTTCAGGTATGTCAGAAAACCCCCTGAACTCTTGACATTTTCTTGTAGGACCTCCTACTTGTATTCTGAAAATAACTAAAATGTTGTCAAAGGACAAAATCTCTATTTTTTTTAAAATTTATCATTTACAGCTCCTACATATTTTGTGTTTTGTTCTCTCAAGAAATTTTTTAAAATTTTTAACTTTTTTCAATTTTTTTCTTTCAAACTGCATGTAGGGGGGTCGGGTGAGAAACGTATAAAGTTTAGGTCCATTTTGTGAGATACCGCCAAGTTCAGGATGCTTCAAGTGAGATAAACAAAAGTTCAATGAATGATTTGAAACACCCCCAGAGTTTAGGGAGCTATACGAAATTAGCCCTCTAGTCATTCTTAAAAGTACTATGAAATCTGCAAGTCTAAAAATTCTCTGAATTCCTGGCAACAATTTGTTTTTCTAAAATAAAAGATATTTCTCGGCTGCATCACCGACACCTGCTGGAGCTAAGAAGGCATCAAGAACACTAAAGCAAACACTTTGATCATTCAATCAAAAGAACATAAAGGATTATGACGCATCTTTGACAGCAGAATCCGCGTCCAACTTTATGCAAAACCAGTTAGAAATTTACCCAGTTCTCATACACAAACAAACAACACCCCCATCAAAACTTACAATTTATACAATAAAAGCATATAATGAGGGACGAAATTTTCTGCTGCCTGATTATTTGACACCAGTTCTGAAGATTTGTGGAATAATGATACGTAGTGATATGAAAATCAACGGGAACTGACGACGAACGGATGCTGCTAGCAAGCTCGACATTCTACTTGTTTCAAAACCCGAGGCAGGAAACTGTACCTGTAAATAAACAGAAAAGACAGACATTTATAACTATCAGATGTTCCAATCGCTCTCGAAACGAAAATTTGTTCACATGTCGACATTAAACAAATTATAGCAGATATATCTATCAGTATTCTCATAAGCAAATGACTCAAGAACTTGACCTGTAGATAATGCACGGTACAACTGGGACGTGCAACTTCCCTCATTCGTCTCCCAGGTCCATCTGCAGACTTGCGATTGCTTTCGATTTCCTCCTGTTAAAACCCATCACAATTTAATCATAAAGCAACAGAGAATCGTATTTTTAATACGTATTTTTGCAGGCACTCGTAAAAAGCTGATGGGAAAGTAATCTGCTAATTTATTAAGGTAGATACATTAGTACATAAAGGATATGTCACTACGAAAAACACAGTATCACTTGCTTGAATGAGTACAAATAAGAGAATCGTACACCAACATGAAGAGCATTTGTTAAGAGCAAGGAAATTAAACATAGTTCAGCTCAGTGAATCAAATTGCCAGAAGTTAATTTGCACCATCCAACCCAAAAAGTTTGGGATAAGAACTCTATTTGTTGTGTGCACTGAGTTCATTCGACAGCGGTGCCACAATCTAGAAGGCGACATGACAAGTAACCAGCGGGTCAGGCACTTGCCATGGCACTCTGGCACTGCCACATTTTACATAAAAATAATTAAAAACTGGTAATAAAACTTGCGTCTTTAACAAATTCGATACAACCTGGTTTTTTTAATGTTTGGAAAAGAGAAAAAAATAGTGACATCAGATTTCCAGTATTCTTGCACCTTCATCTGTGAAGATACGAGTAACTAAAAGGAATTCAAAGAATTTTAAATATGGAAACTAAAAAGAATTTTATTTACAAAGAAATTCAAAGTATGCATGCACCTTCATCTATGAAGATACGAGTGACATCAGATTTCCAGTATTGCTGAAAGTACACAACTTTAAACATGGAAACTAAAAAGAATTTTATTTACAAAGAAATTCAAACTCTAAACGCTCGCTTGAAGCTTCTTAGCAACGTCCGCATGGCGGTGAAATGCAACTGATTTATGAAAACCATCACCTACCATCTACCCCCACATACCACCATTGCTACAGTAATTACCAACTCCGAGTAGTAATTACCAACTGCCCAATAGTATATACCTACCTCATAACAAAGCATGTATATACCCCGTAAGTTTGATTTATAAGGCATCCAAGAAGCAAGAAGGTGAGAGAGAAACAGAAAAAAACAAAGAGAGAAAAATAAATAATGAGTGGTTGTAAAAGAGTATAATAGTTTGTAGTAGAGAGAGTATTTGTATAAGTATTTAGTGTTATACCACTAAAGAAATAATAATAATATTTCTTAGTGTCCACCAACCTTCTCAAATCAATAAGTGTTATCATAGCCAGGTTCACAAATCAGCAAGTGGTATCAGAGCAGACGGTCGGCGACCAGCTCCTTCATACAGTGATCCTATCAGCGGTATTGAAGAGCGAAGTTCGTGCTTAGTCAGGGACTGTGAAGTTAGTTGCTCAGGGACTAGACTTACGTGGAGATGTTGAAGCAGTACCACGCCATGATAGCAAATCTGGCTAGTACTACTACTACACCCAAATACTCACTATTTGTTCTCTCTTTGTTCTCGCTGTTGGATTTAATCTAATAAATCTATTTGTGGGCACATATGATTAATCATTGTGTATTGCTATCTTTCAGGATAACCCACTGAAGTGATCAATTAAGTTGGGTTAATTTGGTATTTAAATGATCATGGGGTTATATGTGCAGATACCAGGTTGTAATTGTAATTTATTGAGGGGCTAAATTGCAAAAATACAACATCTATAAATAAGGGGTTATGGTCCCTAACCTAGGGTTACATTCTCTAATTCTCTACACCCCCATCTAGCTAGAGAAATTCGGTTTTAGAGAGAACCCTAAGGTTAGAAGATCCAACACCCAAAATCAAGATCAAGCAATGGATTCAGGTATAAGCTTCCGCTCTTTTAGATCCTTGTTAATCTCTTTGAATTAATCATGGCTATATGGTTTTAGATCTCAAGTTTTATGATGTAGATCTAACAAGTGGTATCAGAGCCACCTTGATTAATTCTTAGGGATTTAAGTTTTATTGGGTTTTTTGATCTTAAATCTCTGGTTAAAGATTCAATTTTTGGGTTCGGATGAACAGTAATGTTCTCGGATGAACAGTAATGTTCGGTGAACAGTAACGAAAATTTTTTTTCGGGTGAACAGTAAAGTATTTTTTCGGATGAGCAGTAACTGAAAAAATCGCCGATGAACAGTAACTTTTGGGAATTTTTTGGATTTTTCTTTGATTTTTCCTTCAATTTTTTCCAATTCTGGATCTGTTTTGAAAATAAAAAATCAAAGGTTTTTTGGGTTTGTCGGCGGCGGTTTCAATTTGAAACCCTAAGGGTTCATGGCGAAAATTAAGGAGGTGGTTACCTCAAACGAACCTCGCGTTCGTTCAATTTTAACCGAGCTTCGCGCTCAACGAACCTCGCGTTCGTTCTAAGGTGAACCTCGCGTTCAACTCAGGTGAGCGTCAAGCTCAATTTTAACGAACCTCGCGTTCGTTCTAAGGTGAACCTCGCGTTCAACTCAGGTGAGCGTCAAGCTCAATTTTAACGAACCTCGCGTTCGTTCTAAGGTGAACCTCGCGTTCAACTCAGGTGAGCGTCAAGCTCAATTTTAACGAACCTCGCGTTCGTTCTAAGGTGAACCTCGCGTTCAACTCAGGTGAGCGTCAAGCTCAATTTTAACGAACCTCGCGTTCGTTCTAAGGTGAACCTCGCGTTCAACTCAGGTGAGCGTCAAGCTCAATTTTTTTAACGAACCTCGCGTTCGTTCTTCAGACGAACCTCGCGTTCGTACTTCAGACGAACCTCGCGTTCGTACTTCAGACGAACCTCGCGTTCGTACTTCAGACGAACCTCGCGTTCGTACTTCAGACGAACCTCGCGTTCGTACTTCAGACGAACCTCGCGTTCGTACTGCAGACGAACCTCGCGTTCGTACTTCAGTCGAGCCTCGCGTTCGTACTTCAGACGAACCTCGCGTTCGTGCTTCAGTCGAGCCTCGCGTTCGAACTTCAGACGAACCTCGCGTTCGTACTTCAGACGAACCTCGCGTTCGTACTTCAGTTGAACCTCGCGTTCATTTTTTTTAACGAACCTCGCGTTCGTTCCCAAGTTGAACCTCGCGTTCTTTTATCAAACGAACCTCGCGTTCGTTCATTTTCAGACGAACCTCGCGTTCGTGCTTAAGTGAGTCTCGTACTCAATACAGTCGAACCTCGCGTTCGAAGTTAAGGGAACTTCGTGTTCATTATGGTTAAGCCTCGGCTTTTCATGGGTCCACTTTGGTATACTTAATTTATTCAATTAAGTTATGGGCCCTAATTAAGCTGTGAGACCCCAATTAAGTTTTTGGAAATTCAGTTGATTTAAATTTTTTAATTTAAATCTAATTCGGTTTTTAATCAATTATTTAATTCAAATATTATGACACTAAGGTATTAAGGTTGTCTCTCACTCCAATTGATTAATTGAAACAAGAAGTTGCCAAAGTAACCTCTCTTGTGTAGATTGTTCATGAGGAATGTGAGATGTTTGTGTGTATGCTTTCGTGTAAATATTTAATCGGCCCAAAGGAAGGTTAATATTTATTTAGACTGTATACACATCTGCGATGATAAGCGTGTGACAATTATAAGGTTTACATGTGAATAATGAATCGATCCAAAGATAGTTTCATTATTTGACATGAGTTATTGTCAATGTTTGATCATTGCAACAAGGTATCACTTACAAGTTAATATTACTGTCCAAAGA